AAGAGCAGGCTACCCTATGCAATGATGATATTTAGTTGACGGTGAAAATGACAAAGACGGAGGCTAATTGAGGCAGCTCCTTTCTAATGTTATGCAAAGTGAATAGTGGAAAATAAATTAATTCACTCTCTATTGTTCACTTTGCATAATAGTGGAGACGAGAAGGAGAACGATATTTAGTTGACGATGAAAATGACAAAGACAGAGGCTAATTGAGGCAGTTCCTTTCTAATATTATGCAAAGTGAATAATGGAGAATAAATTAATTCACTCTCTATTGTTCATTTTGCATAATAGTGGAGACGAGAAGGAGAAGGAGAATAGCCGGCTGCTCTGCTTTCTATTCTTCTTCTTCCGCACTTTTATTTAATGTGTTTATAATACAGTTTGCAACTCGGCACAAAGCAACTTGAAATAGCTTTTGATTGTCTTGCAATTTAAACGTAGATAGTTATGGGTCTTACAAACAAAAAATTATGTTTAGATTATAACTAAACACATGATAACGATATAAACAAAGCTGTAATCATATCGCTAAACATACATAAAGTATGATAGCGATTGGTTTTCACTTTAAATATATTAAAATAATTTTTTTTATTTTTTAAAAATTATTTTTGACATCAGCACATCAAAATAATTTGAAAATAGAACAAAAATATATTAATTTAAAAAAATGTATAAAAAATTTTCATTTTTTTTTTAAAAACACTTTATAACACATAAACAAATAATCATTCAAATAGCGAGACTTTTCTGCCATCTCAAGTACCAGTGCACCATAATCCCAGATTCTCCAAATGGTTTGCACTCAGTTGCACAAATCACAGAGTCTAATAAGTTTACCAACACATTATCCTGATGCACCAAATTACAATCTATATAAGCATAAATATAGTTTAATTATATCTGCAGTGGACTATAATCAGTCCACCTCAATAAGTTCTTCATTATTCAATATCAGATAGCATCTCTAATTCGTACGAGAGCACTTAGATTAGATGTCTGAAGACTAGGACCACTCAAGGAAGACGGAGGTCATGGGGTCCCAAACCACCAGCAAGGTGAAGATTAGGATGGTGGTGGTGGTGCCCCTGGTGCAGGCGGAATGCATAGAGGTTGGAAGCCCCATTTACAAGAGCAGCAGCAGATTCATAACCTCCTTCACTGTCCACTAATCCAAATCGTGGATCCTCCATTTTTGCTTCCTTGAATTCCAAAAGAAAACCATAAAAAAAAATAGAAATTCTCTGGTTTAGTCCTTCTGTTTATTCTAAGTTGAGAAATTAGTGAAAACAAGACATGAAAGTTTAGATTCTTACATATTCCATCCAGAGGTTTCCATGTCTCTCCTCCAAACTCCTTACCTGCAATTTATAGATAAACAAGAGTGATTTGTTCTTCCAAAAGCTGCATTCATGAAATTGAAAACGCATTTTATATATCACTAACCTTCTTTTTATAGGTTTCGGTTTGTGTTTTGATAACATGGTACTGTAAACAATCAAAGAATGTTGAAATTGTTAGTATAAACTGTTAATTTGACAAGGCATGTTCCTACAATATGAAATGAGTGAAAGGGCATGCATGCACCCAACATCCAGTTCATGAAAGCCCATAACGCAAAAATAAAGAAGCATAATTAAGTTCGAAGGTGTATAAAATTTCCTTAACACAATAATTAAATTTGCCTTTGAGCCAACAAATGTTAAGATCATAATTAATTAATACTTTTTTTTATTAATAAATGTCCACAAAATTAACAAGAAGCCCAAATCACTTTTAGGAATTAGGAAAAGCCACAAATCAAATCCAGCATCTGACATACCTTCCTGCCACGGACACCATTCAATGCTTCAGTCATATTATGCTCAAGAACGCGCAGATGATCAATGCTCAATTCATTAAGATCCTCTCCTATCCTCTGCCTGTTAAAACCAGCACCTTAATTAGCAGCTCCACTTCAAAAATATTCACCTAATTAAAAAGAAATAAACTAAAACCACAACCATAACCATATACAAACATAAATACATAAGCACGTTCATGTATGGATGATCAAGGTTCTTTCTTTTTCAAAGTTACCTGATTTCTTTTTTCAGCTTATGATTGATATCTTTCAGCTTCCGCAATTGCTCTTGCATTTTCTGCAAACCTCACAAACAAAATCCTTTGAATATAGATCAAGCATTAGAAGAAAGACAGAAAGAAATGTTAACCTCGTATTGAGTGCTCCACAGATCTATGCCTAAAGCCTTCTGATATTGATCGTAGATCTTCTTTGTCCTGGTCATAATAATAAAACCAACACGTGCAGTTCCATTATTAAGGTTTCATCATATAGCTGCATCAACGAAGACAGGAGAGACAAGAAAAAAAAGAAGAAATACTTTGAGAGAAACATATATTGTACACGTACGTCGTGGAGGGGCTAATGTACTCATGGAATTTGTTAGTGTTGGAGAACATGATAAGAGAGACCTTAGCATCACAAAGAACAGTGAGTTCCTGGGCTTTCTTGAAAATACCATTTCTTCTTTTTGAGTAGGTGACTTGCCTGTTAGTGGGGTTTTCAATCTTTTTGATCTCAATCTTTCCACGACCCATAGTTTTCCCTTACTTTTTTCTGAAAGCTGTAGCAGTAGATAAAATGTTGAGGGAGAGAGAGACAACAAGGGTGTCTTGCACAGTGGCTTCTTGAAGGGGAAGAGAAGAAGATGAAAATGGAAGGGAAGTGATTAAGTGAAGTTTCTAAACAAGGAAAGGGTGATGGAAAGTTGATTGTTGCATAACTTAGAATGTCTGTGGTTTCTGAGGGTAGTTTGAAATACTGGGAAGTTCATGGACCTTGATAGGACATGAAAGCAATTTACTGATAAGACCTTTCCTTAAATCACTTCCATAACTGAGTTAAGTACGCTTAGCTGATAATGAGAATCCTTCGTAATTCGGTGCAAAGCTGTCCCTTCTGTTGGTTTCGTCTTGTTTACGAAGCAATTGTTTGCCATTGTGGTATATTTATGTTTTTAAATTTTTTTATTTTTTAGTTTTAAATTAATTTTTTTTATATATTTTTGGATTTTTTTAAAGTTAAAAATAAAATTTAAAAAATAAAATATTATTTTAATGACTTTTCAAACAAAAAATATACTGAATAAATTTTTATCACTTTTCCAAATCAGCAGAGCCTAAAAGTTATTTGGGTCAAATTAATTAGAGAAAAATCATATTCTTTTTATTAATTTGACAAAATCA